GTTTACTATTTTCAAGGAATTATTTCGTTACTTTTTAGTGTACTGTTTTTTTGAGAATATTTTGTTTTTGGTGTATTTTGTTTTGTTTTTGTATTTGTCAGCTACTCATATGCAGTTTTGTCCGAACAATATTTTAGATTGATGTAAAGTGTGTAGGCAACCTGAGAACTGAACAGTTCACAGTTTTGTTAGATTTATCTGTATGATCGGACTGCTCAGAAAAAACTGAGTGTGTGTAGGTGGCTTAAGATGGAGTAGCAGACAAAAGCTAGTTTTATCTATACTTCTATACTAATATTATAAAGAGAAAAGATTTGTATTTTTGAATTTTTGCATGTTTTGAAATAACTGAATAACTAATGGTCAGAAATAAAAAAAAATCAACATTAAAAAGCTACATTATTAGTGAGTAACATTAGCTATATTTTTTAAGTTTGAAGTTGTGTGCCACAGCTAGTTTTATTATATATTAGCCTTCCTCGCGAATTAAAAATACTCTGTAAGTAGTCTATGTGGTGCAAGAACTTGCTATGGCCATGTTTTGACATCTATGACAAAATTCTTCAGAATCTGTTAGCTGGATATTCTAATATCCAGCTAATTATGAGGAGGGATGAATCGCACGTTACAATGTTAGTTATAAGTGTGGAGGTACACCAGTAGAGGTAGACATAGAAAGAAATGGATGGATTGCATGTAAGGTGACATGATCAAGAGAGTGATAACTGAGATGACGTATGATAGAGTTATATGGAGGACAAAAACCTGTCGGGAGTACAATAAGGGCAAAGATGATCATGATGAAATAGCCAGCTAAACTTTCGCATTTACGATATTAAATAAAAATGATTATTTGGTAAAATTGTTTGTGAAAATTTAAATCGTTTTTCCAAATAACTGTTTAAAAATTTTTCCCTGTCTCTGTTAGACTACTAATTGTACATAATTCTCAATTCCAGGTTCAAAATCTAGATGAAACCGGTATGGATTTACTCCAGAAGATGTTGGTATATGACCCGATGCGTCGTATCTCAGCCAAGGATGCGCGCCGGCATCGCTACTTCCGCGACGTGGCGGTGCCTCCCGGATTAGCTCTGCATAAAGCTTATATACGCTGCTCAGATTATACTGATACCACACAAAGTGTATGAAGTGTCAATTTGTGCTATTTGTCTGAAAAGTGACTGCAAAGTGTAACGGTTAAATATCTTTGTGAATGAATAATGTTGAAGTATTCTTGAAGCGATGGAAATTTGGTAAGTTTATTTTAATATGTCAGAACTTTTTGTGGCCTAGTTTTGATGTTATATGGATCTTCACACAGATCCGAGGGTGGGGTAGATTTTTATCGAAAAATTGAGGTTTTTGTGATTGAAGCTTGGTTTAATTTCACTTTTTTATGCAAGATGTACCAAGTAACATTAAACCTTATTTTAATTGTATAAGGGCCTGTCCCACCAAATTGTAAACAGTCTGATAATAATACAACGCATAAAATATGTGATGGAATATTGGATTTACCTTAACTGACAGTGACATCATTTTTAAGCTATCTAAGCCTCTAACAGCCAGTGGTGGGACAAGGCCCTAAATATAATTTGATAACAAATTGCTTTGCTCTCCGCACTATTCTGTTAAACTGACTACTGGTTTGTTGTTTCTATGACTATGTTTTAAGAATGTTTTGTGAAAGTAACATTAGTACTATGGCATGTAGAAAACTTCACTTAATTTAGAATTTGACAGTTGTTTTAATAATTGCAGTCTCTGTTTTGTCAGTGAAAGAAAGAGATGGAAATATTTTGATGCCTCCTATGTAGAGCCAATACTGTAAGACACAATTTTAAGATTTACACCTAGTTTTGTTTACATTCACTTGGTGAATACTTGTTTCTGTACAAATTTAAAGAAGTGTAGATTATGGTTGTCTGTTGTAAGTTCATGTTTGATCGTAATTATTCATTTTAACTTTTTAAAATTTTGTTTTGTCAAAATTTTCCTATAAAAATTAGACTTTACATAGGAGATTAGATGTGTTAGTATGTTAGGAGTGAGGTTTTGCTACTTAAAAAACTCATATAAATCATAATTCAGGGATGTTATCCAATACAGGTCAATATTTAATCTGTTAGCTAGGAAATAAATTAGGTGCCTTAGTAGTAAACGGACGACTAATATTTCATAATTTCAAAACTAAATTCTGCATTTCAAACTAATTTGTATGTTACAAAAAACGTTAAGCCCCATTCGGACAGGCGATTTTAAAACGCGCGTTAAAAAAGCGTTGATGTAGAACAAATCCATTATAAGTATCTGTTTATGGCATTTTGACTACTGGGTGATTAAAACAAGAGTGATTTTAAAGTGATTGTATGAGCGAGAGCGTTAAAATAGCGCCCGTGTGAATGGATGCTAATTCTAATGATAATGTGTAATTCAATATATTATATGTCAAATTTTATGTAAAATATATTTTTGCATTTCCTAGTATGGTATGATAGCATATTTTACACATACAAAAATTGGTATATGCTCAATAGTTTCTTATGGCGATATTTAAATTGCCGATTAAATTATGGTATTTGTATAATTACGTATTTTTCTAAAATATATTATAACCAGTTTATTTAGGCAGTTGTAAATTTAAGCTTAACTTTGGGACTAGTTCGTCTTTACCCATCCTAAATTAATTAAGAAATAATACAAAAATTTGAAGCAATTTTGATTCATACATTCAAATCAGCATTTTTAAAATGAACGGACAAACGATAATTTTACATTCACAAACTATTGTATGTATTTATTTTATATGTGAAACATGTAATGTAATTAAGTGTTTTTAGAATGTATTTAATTATAGCAAATGTATGATTATTCCAACTACAGAAATAAAATTTGAACATTTAATTATTGTAGTAATGTGATTTTTCATTTAAATTTTTTTTCCATTGAACCCTAAATCTTTTTTTTTTTAATGAAAATATTAGTAGATTTTTGTTGGTTTACTAATAATTCCTTGATCATTCCAACTTAGCTCTAGGCTTGTGCTAGGATATGGTTCACGAAAATAGTCGAATGGCGGGGTTCGAACCCTCGACCTCAAAGTTCTGTAGTCTGTACCCCAAACCATTAGGCTATTGCCGCTTTATTTAAATATTAATTACATAATACCAACTACCTTTAGTGTATGGCCAAGGGTGCGGACATCACAAGCATATATTTGATGACAAGAATGGGACACTCATCGGTAGCTCAGATACAACTGCCCTACTGGGATGAAGTCATGATAGTAGAAAACAGTGTCCATACACTACACTAACTTATTTAATAATTATTGAAGTTTGATAGTAAAATGTTAATACTATAATTTGAAATAATCAATAACTCATCTATTATATGCAATAATTAAAAAAATAATAATAACTTTATTAATTTCCCCTTGGGAAGGGACTGGTGTCCAAACTAGGGTCGCGCGTTGTGTGATGGTTCACCAGGCCCCCGCCGTTATCATAAATTCATTATGATAACTTGTAATCAAAATTAATTAAATACTCAAACATGTAATTCGCAAATATTCTCTGTAACATTAAGTTATGTATGGAGGTACACCGGTAGAGGTAGTCCTAGAGGTTGATGGATTGTGTGAAAGGTGACATGATCAAGGGAATGATGACAGATGACGTATGTTAGATTTATTTGGACAAAAACCTGTTACGCCGACCCTATGGGTATAGAATAAGGATGATGACACTCTGTAACATTAATTTTTTTTTATTAATTTCGATTGAATCAATTTTAATGTAATTGCTAATTTTATTCATGTAATCCAAGTTATTTATATTTCTATTAAATAAAACGAATTTTTAATACTTTTAATACAATTTTATTGCTTCCCAGTCTCATAACTATACTATATATGTGACTCAAAGATTGTTTACAAAAGGTAATACTTTAACATCAGTTTTCACTACCGTTTTCTACTTTTGTGCAGTAAGACCCACATTGTACTTCTTACTAAAATTACTAAGGCGTCAGTAATACTATTAGGGCTCTAATAAATCTAAATATAGTGAAATATTCATGTGCAAGAACATAATTATGTTTATACTAAACAGTATTAGAAAAAACCAGTAAACTATGGTACATAGGTATAGATAAGTAAATATCTTACTAACAGTACTTAATTTCTACAAAAAAAACTGTTTATTCTTCAATCTTATTATGCAAAAGTACATTCATTACTACTACATAATACAAATACATAAAGGTAAATAAAAATTAACAAGGACTTTTAAGTAGAAAAAAAAACCTAAATATACATAACTTGGCAACTTTGCCTAAACTTAAATAAGAAAATGATAGATAACAAAATAATTAACTAAACAAAACAAACAACTTTGGTTCATTGCTTCGGACCAATTAATAAAAAAACCGACGGAATATACATTGCCAATATTATAATAAAAGAGAGTAGATAAAAAGAACCTGTAATAAATATGAATGTATAATAAAAATAACATTATCAGAATAATAACTATTTTACACTTCATCATTGCCTCCAGAACATCTGAAATTATACATCCACTTTGTGGGAACACCTGGCCAGACAAGTGTGTAACTACTCAGTAGTGTAATTATTCTCACTAGTGTAACTTGACTCAATTGTGTAACTACTCAATAGTGTAATTATTATCAATTGTGTAATTACTGAGTAGTGTACCCAGTCTCAATTGTGTAACTTGACACAATTTTGTAATCACTAGGTGGTGTAATTATTCCTATTCGTGTAACTACTGAGTAGTGTACCCAGTCTCAATTGTGTAACTATACCCTCTTGTGTAACTACTCAATAGTGTAACAAGTGTCAGTAGTGCAGCTAGTCTCAGTGGTGTATGGAGTATAGTGCGGGATGCGTGGGCGGCTGCTGCAGTATGATGCGGTGCGCGACGCCGCTTAGCTCCTGCTGGCTTAACCCTGATACTGCTACTGCAGGTTGGAGCTAGAATAAGACAGAATCTTAGTAATTTAGGTCTTACTTGTTCACATTTTTACATTTATACTATAAAAAGGTAATAATTTGGTTCATTAATGGCAGGTTTCCCAGCTACGTTAAACCATTAGTATTTTTGGTTTAAATTCATGAAAATTACTGAACTATGGCCTTAATTTTACTCTGTTGAAATATAAGTCAACCTAACACCAATGTATCGCTAGTTAATAAAAAAATAAGTAGAAACCCAGAACTATAAAGGTGTACATTTCATATAAGTTCCATTTTAATATTAGAAATGCACTAATTTGTCTTTTGGTTTTACACACTTGAGTTAACTTCTTAAGACATTCAAATATTGTCTCAATTAGGCAAAAAGTTCTCACCTGTAGTATATTAGGCAGCATAGTCTGACACGCAGAAGTAGCTACGTGCAGCTGCTGTTGCTGGACTTGCTGCACGCCCACAGCCTGCAGAACAGAACAGAAGAGATGAATATACTAATACTTATACAACTATCGGGTGGTTGAGATAACTTACATGTATTTGTATGGGCTGGTGCTGCGGATGGATCTGTATTGTCTGCACTTGCAACTGTTGCGGCTGTGGCTTGAAGAAAAGATAGCGTTAAACAAATATTAAATTAAAATTAAATAAAGAAATCAATAAATAACCTTTTCCTTGCCATCTTAAAGTTACAGCAAGAATTACAGAAGACATCTACATTTGTAACAATGATGCAAACGGAAGGAGCCACCCTCCTTCCTAAGATGTAAAAGGGAGAGTAGTTTGAGGTCACTATACATTACTAGTAAATTATTAATAGCAAATTATCAATAATTATGCGTAAATTAGTTTATTAATGAAAAGAAAAAAATCAATAAATTTGAACGGCAACTCAGATGAAACCATGAACAAAACATGAAATATTAAAACTAACTCAAAAAATAGTAATGAAAATGTTTTACTCTTTCGTGTATGTGTTTTAGTATACTATGTGCGTTTGGTGTGAGATTAAGGAATTAGACATTGAAGTCTAAGTAAGTTATTTTGTACAATTACCGTATTAACTTGTTGATGAGTTTGCTGCAATTGCAGCGATTGTACAGAAGATATCACCGGGTAGTGCTGCCCACCCTGAAATGCAATTGTGACTTTGATTATTCTAAAATTCTTAACCCGGGCTAAGCTACGGCGAAACGCTCATATTTTTGACCGACTTCCCAAAAGAAGGAGGAACTCAATTCGTCTGTATGTTTTTTTTTATATAGACTATTTTTTTACCCTTAATTCGATAGTATCCAGTGTGACGTACAACTAATTTAAAAAATTTAAAAAAATCTTTTTCTTTAATATCACATTAATTTTTCATATCCAAAAATATTTTTAGTAAAACAATCAGTTTTATTCCTACAAAAAGCTCCGTCGAATTAAAGGTTGTGAGCTATTTTTTTTTTCAGGTTTTACCTGCACTCCTGTGACGTGCAGAGGTAGCGCGAGCTGCGGCATGCCGCCCACCTGCACCACCTGCTGCTGCGGCAGCTGCTGCGGTTGCAACTGAGGTTGCTGCAGCTGCTGCGATTGCTGCAACTGTTGTGATTGCAGCTGGCTTTGCGCTTGACGTTGATGATGTTGTTGTTGTTGTTGCTGGTGCTGTTGTTGTTGCTGCTGTTGTTGTTGTTGCTGTTGCTGCTGCTGCTGCTGCTGCTGTTGTTGCTGTTGTTGCTGTTGCTGTTGCTGTTGCTGCTGCTGTTGTTGTTGTTGTTGTTGTTGTTGTTCTTGATGCTGTTGTCGTTGTTGCTGTAGTCGTTGTTGTTGCTCTTCTAGTAGTTGTTGTTGTTGATGATGATGTTCCTAAAAAATAATTTAAAGTAAAATATATTTTTGTTACATCAATTATTAACCGGAAAATTAAAATTATATATTACCGTCATATGTGAGAGCATGTGTTTCTTTAAACTGTGCAGATACATGTAAGTTTTCACACAGAGGCCGCATTTGAATTTCTTCTGTGTAGGACCAATAATATTCTGAACAGGCTGTTCTTGTGGTTGTGATTGTTGTGTTTGTTGTTGTTGTTGTTGTGATTGTTGTTGTTGCAATTGTTGTATTTGTTGTGGTTGTTGAACGTCCGATTTTTCTTCAGTAATAGTTATCACATGAGGTGTCTCCTTTCCACTTTCTTCTTTATCAGATTCTGGTGTATTATTTTCTGTGGGCTCACTGTCTTGTTTACCCATGTGTGATTTTAAATGTTTCTTGTAAGCACTCGATTCTATGTAACCTGTGGAAATATTTTTTTCATTTAATTATAGGTTGTGATTAAATAGCTATAAAACCTTTTTATAATAGATATTAATTTTTAACTGTAGGTTGTAGCTAACAAAAAAGAAATTTACTAAGCAGTTTTGTATGAATTAACCATTAGGGGTAAGAGAAAAGGAAACACCAAAACTTTTAATTACTCACATCATTACTTGCGAGAAAAACCATCATAATATAAATTCAGCCACTACCAAAACAATAAATATTTGTTTAATCTGTAATAACTTACTCTTGCCACACGGCAGACATTGGTATTTCTTCTCTCCAGTGTGGTGTCTCCTGTGCACGGCTAAATATGAGGCGGAGCTGAACCTCTGGGAGCACACTTCACATCCGAAGAGCTTCTCTCCAGTATGCTTACTGGAATGTATGCGAAGCTCTGTGCGGGATGTGCAACCTTTGTAGCACACGGGACATATAAACCTGGAAGTTGTCTCTTTCTTACACATTGTTTCGTGTATTTTCTCTTACTGTAATGCCTTTAAGAGTAATAGTTATGGTTTAGTTAAATATGACTATGAGAGTTTTAGTTCTTTGACGTGATTTGTGTAATTTTACCTAATATACTAATTAACTGTTTTTATCATACTAATATTATAAATTTGTAATAGGGATGGATGGATGTTTTGTACGTATCTCGATAACAGATTTTAATGAAATTTGGAATAGATGGGCATCTGGAAGAAAATAGGCTACTTAACAAGTTTTGTTTTTTTTTAATTCAGCGCAGATAAGTCCCGGGCAACAGCTTTTAAACAATCACAATACCACAGTTAACTTTGTGTGTAATTTTTTTATTAGCTCTAAATATTTCAATAGTGTATTTACACAGATATAAATTGAACCGTGTGTGTATAAGTTGCAAGTGTGTAAAGTGTACAGTGTAGTGTGTACTGACTTCTTGGTGCCGGTGTGGGTGACCATGTGGTTGTTGCGCGCGGAGGAGGTGGTGAAGCGCGCGGGGCACACCTTGCAGCTGTACGGCTTCTCGCCGGTGTGCGTGCGCCGGTGGTAGATGAGAGCAGACTGCTGTGCGAACTTGCGCTCGCAGTACTGGCACTCGTACGGCCTTTCGCCTTTATTGCAACGTGATAAGGACGATTTTACTACCACATTTTGGAACAAAGCACTATTTGAGTTGATCAGGGTTTAAATTTGTAATCTACAGATCCTGGGTTCGAATCCCAGTAGTACCTTTCTCACCATGCTAGCCACATTTTAATTATAAATTGCAATAAAAATAGATGTAGTTGCTTAAAGAGTTATTGTTTTTCTTTTTTTTCTGACAATTTTATAAGTAAAATGGAATTTTAACGTTTTCCATTGTTCTTTTTATTTAGGCAGTAAATGTTTTATTACTAACTTAACACATAGGAACTTAGAGCAAGAGCCAAGTAATTTAATTTAATTAGTGCAAAATTATTAAGCACTGATTATTTGATCTTACCTGTATGTACTCTCATGTGTGCAGTAAGTTTGGAGACTTCATAGAATCCTTTATTGCAGACGACGCAGATGTGATTCCTGATGCCGCGGTGTTTCTTCATATGCTGGCACAGCGTGGAATGACGCCGGAATGTCTTGCTGCATTCTGTACATTTTAATGGTTTCTCACCTGTATGTAGCCTAAAGTGCACCTAAAATTATATACTTCGAATGAGGAATTTATTTAAAATAATATCTTACATGTGAAAGATTAGATGGATGGATGTTTGTTAGAGTTTGTAACCTAAATGGCTAAACGGATCTCGATGAAATGTATCATAAACGTAGAGGGTGGTCTGGAATAACACATACTCACTTTTGTTTATATTTTTAATTCCACGCGTTAGGAGTCGCGGGCGTAAGCCAGTTACCGATAAATTAAAAAAATAGATGGATGAATGGTTTGATAGTTAAGTTTGGCATTTTAAAAAAAATGACATCTGACAGATCTGTCAAAATGCTATAAATCATTTGACTTTTCGTGTATATTTATTGTGAAATAATAAAAATGGGTTTCGATTATTACGGTATATTAGGCGTGAAGCGATCTTGCAAGCAGCACGAAATAAAAGCCGCGTATCGACGTTTAGCTCTCAAATATAATCCAGAAAGATACTGCGATGACGAAAACATGAAAAAAATATTCGCTTTAATAGCCGAAGCTTATGATGTTTTAGTAAATCATAAGAGACGAGCCATTTACGATCAATATGGCGAAGAAGGTTTAAAGAGAGGAGTCCCCGGTCCGACTGATTACATACATCCTTATTCCTACCACGGCGACCCTCTAAGAACCTTCCACGAATTCTTCGGTACTTCCAACCCTTACGCCGATCTCCTAGATTACTACGAGAAACCACTACCTATATTCGAGTCACCCCTTGGTAGGGGATACAAGGAAAAAGATCCTACAATAATCCGACCTCTCTCTCTATCACTTGAAGAAATATACAAAGGTGGTTTAAAGAAGATGAAAATTCAACGCCTGGTGTTCACAAACGAAACATGTTCTGAACTGAAATTGAAAGAAAAAGTCCTTTCTATACCAATCAGACCTGGTATGTATCCTCATACTGAGATTAAATTTAAAGAAGAAGGCGATCAAGGACCTACTAGGATACCAGCAGATGTGATATTCCTCACAGAAGATCGTCCACACGAGACGTACATACGATCAGGGTTGAGTGATTTATTGACAGTTCGAACTATATCATTGAAGGAGGCTTTATGCGGGATTACATTTACGTTACTGACGTTGGATTCACGGGTTTTACGTATTAAAATAACGGATGTCATCACTCCGACGTTTGAAAAGATTATAGAAGACGAAGGTCTACCTCTACCCGCTTGTCCGACCAGAGCCAGAGGTAACTTAATAATACGTTTTAAAATCACGTATCCTGATTATCTATCGAAGAGAAGTAAAAAGGCGTTTGAAGAAGCTTTCAAAATTAAAGAGGAAGATGATGGGAAATTCGAGAAAATGGAATGTGGTGACTTTAATGCTAACATGGCGTAAATATCTGATTCATTTTGATTTGTGTTCTGTTTATTCATGATATTAGATGTTGTTTACATTATTTCATTATTTATTCGGATTTTATAAATAAAAAATGAGCAAATTTAAATAATAATACTAAAAAGAAGAATGCGACTTCAAAGACCACGATCTTAGAATCACTAGAAAAATAAATATTACACCAGATGCCCAAATGTTTTTCCGAGAGTCATTTAGATGGATGGATGTTTGTTAGAGTTTGTAAGCCTAAACGGCTGAACGGATTTCGATGGTTTGGTACAGATGTAAAGTATAGTCTGAAAGAACACATAGGCTACTCACTTTTGTTTTTTTTTAATTACACGCGGAGAGAGTCGCGGGTGAAAGCTAGTTATAAATAATACTATTTAAACAAATATCTATTTTACTAACTATGCACATTTTTGGTTATATAATTATTATTTTTATATCGAATATTTTTATTTAAAAATGTAAAAAACTCACCTTTAAATCAGTTGGATTATAGAAGCTTTTAGAGCAAATGGTGCAAATATATGGTCTTTCTCCTCTGTGTCGAGCCAAATGCGACCTTAATGCGTAGCCGCTAAAGAAGCGTTTCTCACAGATAGTGCATTGGTGCATTTTCTGTTCGAAGTGAGTCTGTCTGTGGCGATAGAGGATCGTTTTACTCTGGAATGTTCTTTGACAGACGGAACATGTCGGTTGTTTTTGAGGACGCTGTTCGTGCGTTCGCATATGCATGCGTAGCATACCTGGACCCTGGAATAATGGAACATATTGGATATTTTAATCCTTAAATAAATGATGTTTTCTTTTTAAACACCTTGAATTGAAACGGGTAGTAAATTGAACATAGATCAAGGGTAAAATAAAGAATTTTTTTTTAAATAGTCTATTGGGATGGGAAGATTGATGTAAATGCATGAATATTTTTTGAACGTCGCTCAATGGTTAATTTTACTAATAAAAATTTGGACTGATGGATGTTTGTTAAGAGTTTGAACCAAAACAGCACAACAGATCGCGATGAAATTTGGCATAGATGTAGAGCAAAGTCTGGAAGAACACATAGGCTATATACTATTGTTTTTTTAATTCAACTAGTAAAGGTATAAACTCCCATTTTGGTATAAATTCGCCTCAAAATACTACAGGAGACTATCCTATAAGTACGTAAAGTTGCCCTTTACTACACATTTAGACACTAATTACTCGGCGTAAGACAGTCTTGATGTAGTACATTATGAAACCGCACCTTAAAAGTCTTCTTACAGACGGGACACATCGGCGGCTTCTTACAATTTGCCTTTATCCAATTAGTATGGGATCTCATATGCATCTTCAGCCACCTGCCGTGTTTGAACTCTTTATGGCAGAGGTTGCAGACATGGCGGCCGGGGGAGACTGATGACGTCACTTGGAACACCACCATTTGCATGTAGTTCTCATCCATGTTAAGAGCTTCGTCATCTTTAACTGGTGCTTGTATGGTTTGTTCCTATTCAATGGAAATTTGATTGTTGATATAAAATGGACTTGGCTCCGTTCTAATTATTAATAGTTGTAGTTTTCACTGCCAGAATATATAACGATAGCTTTGTCTACGACCACACAGAATACAGGCGTGAAGTGGGATCAATTCCGCGTATAGTCTGATGAGTGTGGCCCTGAAAGCCCAACTTTAGTCCCTTATCTTCCCACTCTTTTTCTTATAAGAAATGGAACGGAAGGGAACGTGGATTTGACGGTGCAGGAGACGAATAGGAAGAGAAATATCCTTTTTATGTCCGTCTCCTACTCCGTCGATGATCTCTAAAATTTCTTTACAGGTTTATGCAGGTTGCACCACGATTGTAATTTTTTAATGGCAAAACATTCAATACACAATTTAAGACATTTTATAAATAAAAACTAAACACAAAAAAAAATCAAAATATATTAATGAAATAAAAAAAAATCTTGGCCAAAAGGAGAAGGCTCAGCTGATGCGGTCTCCAGTTTGTCACTAGTTTTCAGTTAATGTTCTACCAATAATCATTATGTTTCCTACCTTATTGATTTCAAAGTTAGTCTTCTCTGCATTCTCCGGTTTATCTGTTTGTACTTGTTCTGTAGTGAAGAATTCATCCAGCACCTGAGTGCTGTTAGCCATTGGCACTTCAATGTACTGGATGAAAGGTTGCTCTGAGCAACTTAAATCGATTTGAGCATCCTGGAAACAAAGGATATTTGATTAGTTTCAGACATAAATAATAGTCGGTGTAAACGCCGTGGCATATGTAAGATGCCGCAGCGTTAAATAATGCCACGCGGAATAAGTTGTGCGCGGAATAAAATTATACAAGCAAAAAAGTAAAGCCCGCGGGTGCATGTCAACCGCGCGAGGGCGAGAAGAAAATATCTTTCTTTAGTAACAATTTCATACCTCCAACTCGCTCATACGAACCATTTTTAAGCTGCCAGTGGCCGAGTAATAAGAGATTTACTTTACCCGCCTAAATGTCTAAATTAAAATATGCTTACATTTTTCTTAAGAATCTCGTCAGCTTCCCACTTCAGCTGATTCCGTATTGTGACGTCATTTCTCTCCACCATCTCCTTGAAGGCATGGCATCTCGATACCTGGTGCACGCACTGGAGACACAGCTGTGAGGGTAAACCATCGCCAATCGCCACCTGGAAAACAAGAAAAACTATACAATGTTGACAAAACAGTTTATTATTATAGGTGCAGACTACATCTACTATTAACCTATAAAATATAATACTTTTGTATAATAAAATTATAGATTTAAAACTTATCATTACTTTTAAAACCAATAAAAATATTACTTATTTCTTCTTGGTCAAATTTGTATACGTTTGAGTAAAAATGTTCTATAGTTAACTATTAAGTCGTTAAATCTACAATTCAACATGAATTAAAAAAAAATCTGTTTATCAAGATTGTTTTAAATAATTTAGAGCGTCTAAAAAAAATGCGCGCGAAAAAAAGGTACTGTCACGTAAAAACAAAAACTTGATTTTATGAAAAATGACTGCAGCACATATAAGTATGTGAAATATGTTATAAAAAAAATAACAATTAAAATTTATTTCGTAGCTTTTACATAAAAATAATAAAACATTAACTTGAAGGTATTCACTTTTTGATACGAAATAATTTTAAGAGAAAAGGACAGCCACACATTTCTCAATTAAATTCCGAGAATACGCAACATCCCCAGAATCCTAAAATTGGTCTGCAATCCGATGACTTTTAAACAAAGATGGTGCGATAGGAATACCTCCGTCGTTTATAAACGGGATACGGTTTATAACGAGTGCGACAAAGACAGCATATTTTTCAAAAATATCAAAATGATGTGTCATCTCACCTGCAAGTTGGATATCCCCATCAACATTGTTGCAGTAAGTTGTTCGAATAAAGGTCTCATGTCCTTTTTAATTTGCAAACAAGCTCTACACACTTTTTCTAGGTTCAAAAGATTAGGTTTATTGACAGCAGCCATTTTGAGGTGCAGCTATCGACTTGTATTCGTCCTTGTTATACAATTTTAATTTTTTAACACTCACAAATTAGGTTTGTAACAAAATTTACGCTAAATCAATAACAAACACAAAAAACAACTATTATTACTCATTAATTACTTTTCCACTAAATGCAAAATATATAACAACGCAAATATGTCACGGAGCTCACGAACGTATAGTAGACGACGTAAATGAGGGAGACAGTCGTATTCACTACAAGTACATGGTTATTGGGTAATGGAGGTGGGGGAAAGAAACATGCGCTTTCTTCAAACAATTACAAAATTTTAATCACAGAACACATTTTTTCATATTAATGTTTCACATAGTTTAAACAAATTGAATATTTTTTAAATAATAACTAAAAAAATAAAGATTCGTTAAGTGGTACAATTTGGAGTAATGGTTTAGGCAAAAGATATATTTTTCTCCCTCCTTTAAACAGAATTCCATACGGGTAAAAGAGATAGATATAGATAGAGATAGATATAGACATTTTTCTTTGTTCTGGTTTCATATGTATAAATTGTGTCATGTTCTAAATCTATCCACGCAATCGATAACCTTTCTTTACTTACGAATTGAATAAAAAAAAGTCTATAAATCAGTTGACACGAGGTGATTATAGGCCTAATTTCAACATAAAGCGTTAATTAAAAAACAAAAATATATTCTTAGACATAGGAGTATAATTTTCATAAAATGTAGAAGTATAAAATCTCTGTCTCTTTCTTACTTTACAATCTTCTTTCGAGATGATAAGGATAGGTAACCTTTCAGTTTAATTTAATTTACTAATTTTGTGCTATAAAAATTAATTCTTTGTTTGTAAAATGTAAAAACCGTAAAAATATTTTTAAATTACGTAAGGACACCTATGATATAAACGAAATAATTTAAAATAACATAATAAACATCACACCCATAGATCACTGACTCACAGATCCGACAAAAATAATTTTTCTGCACGATGACACATAGCATTATCTGTTTCACGGACGATCAAATAATCGAACTGCTGACCATGAACAATCGTTTTTATTCTTGTCATCTAGTAGTTCTCGTTGTCATTTTCTTTTTATGAAAAACCTAAAAATTTTCTTTTTAAATAAAATATTCTAATTTACGATACTGGAAGATGAATTAAGGCATTGCGATAGAATAAATATTAAAAAAACTAATTAAAGGCATCGACGTTAAACGACGGTAAATATTAAATCACAAATATTGCTTTATGTTATTGATTTTATATTGCGAGAAATTCATTGGGTGTGGTTTCAGGTGCATCGTTTTCGACATGCCCGAACATTTGGAACTTCAACAATTGGTTGACATATCAGCTGGCAGCGGAGACGAAACCGTTCCGAATCTTCTGGAGAACAAACGTCCACTACTGAAGAGGTGCCCTTACCTTGGATTACTGCTCGCGACACTTTCGTCGTTATTCTTCTCATTATGCTCCGTTATAGTCAAAAGCCTGGTACACATAGATCCCTTACAACTTGCCATGTTCCGCTTCATTGGGGTCTTGTTACCTACAATTCCGATAGTTATTTACACGGAACAACCAATTTTTCCTAAGGGTAAACGTTTGTTACTTGCTTTACGTTCTTTTGTGGGTACAGTTGGCTTGATGTTAAGTTTCTATGCATTCCGACATATGCCACTTGCTGATGCATCAGTCATTGTATTTTCAGTCCCAGTTTTTGTGGCATTATTTGCTCGGGTATTCTTAAAAGAGCCATGCGGTATGTGGAATACTATATCTATAATATTAACACTTATCGGAGTGATACTGATAACCCAGCCACCATTGTTATTTGGCGGTGAAAAACCGCAGCATTATAGTAGTCTATTTGGTGCTGTGGCAGCGTTTAGTTCCACAATATTTGGCGCTAATGCTTATATTCTTTTGCGGGTACTTAAAGGATTGCACTTCTCTGTGATAATGACTAATTTTGGTGGCTATGCTATTTTGCAAACATTTTTTTATTCTGTTGCCTTTGGAATTTTGTGTATGCCAAATTGTGGTACGGAAAGATTTCTTGTTGTTTGCCTTGCTCTATTCAGTTATTTGGGACAAGTTTTACTTACAATGTCATTACAAATGGAACAAGCTGGCCCTGTAGCTATTGCCCGTTCTGCAGATATAGTATTTGCATTCTTCTGGCAGATAATGTTCTATAATGAGATTCCTAGTAGATATTCAGTTCTTGGGGCTTTTTTAGTATTAAGTTCAGTTATGTTAGTAGGTCTGCGAAAATGGGCTCTTGGGTTACCTGAAGATTCCGAACTGAGAAAAAAGCTGGGTATTTTAGCACAATAAAGATTTAATTTCACATCAAAAAACATTAGGGTATAAAATACCCTTTATTTATAAGAATTATTTAGATTATAATAATTGTATAACTGAATACAAGTCTAGTCATCAAATATATCATTTCTAGTCATTTTCCAAATAGTTTTAGTACATAACATTGAGATATAGATTAATTTCAGTTGTTACTCTCTTATAAATGTTTGTATTCATTAAGGTATATAAAACAACATAATATACTCACAATTTTATTTAGTGTATATAAATGTAACAGATACAATAACTATTATAGTACTTTGTAATTATACTTTCACCCTAAAAGACTGCTAATTAAGTCCACTCCTGACATTGTGTTGTGCTTTTTGCCTTTATCTCTTGCACATCTTGTTCCTTGTGGCTTTAATTCTTATTATATTATTTTTTAATCTACAAATTATTGTCAGTATTCTAAAGCTTATTCCTATTGAAACCAAATTACTGAAATGTAAAGTTATAATTTTTTTAGTTGACTATTTAAATAAGAGTAAGACAAGTATGTGATTGGAATTATATTATTACATGAAAGGTTATGTCATATTTGAAGCAAAAGTAGCAGCTACTATCTAGTCCCTTAGTGTATAAGAGTCCCAACTGTTTGTTATACTTTAAAGATATTTTTTGTTGTATAATTTATTTGACTTTTATAATTTTGTATACAAGTTTGAATTTAGAATTAAGTATTTAATATCAATTACATAATTTATAAATTTGAATAATTATGCCGGATTCACATGTGTGCACAAAATATGCACAAAACTTGATGTTTGCTTGTGACTTTTATAAGGCATGTAGGTTTTTTATAACTTTCACATATCATTATTTTTACTTTTTAAAAACACATTAGAATCTTTTATAATGTGTGTGTCCATTTTTATACTTATTTTTATGTTTTTTTTTTTAAATCTAATGTTAATTTGAAGGGTTATATACAGACATCTTTATCCTAGAAACATAGGTTATGTTTTACTTTTTTGTCTAATGATGTAAGGCTTGTAGTGTATATTTAATGATTATTCATCTAGTCGTTGTAGTATTTTCAGATGATATACTGATATTTACTAGATTTTAAACATAGAATTGTTTGCTTATTTATTTAACAGAAGGAGGTATATTTAATTCAATTATACATTTGGTATCAGTGAAAACTCATGTTGTTTTTCTGTATTAGGTAAGCTATTGTAGCTTTGAAATTCATAATACATAAAATTGTTAGCTGACATACATATTAGATACCGCTGTTCTGTTTGTATACTGTGTACATAACATGTATGTAAAATATAAAACTTAATGGATTGTGATATTTTACTTTTAGTGTTATCAATATCTAAGTATACTGCTTATTAAAATAAAAATATGTATTATTGACGTATCTTTTTTTTCATCCTTGTTTATTGATTAAACTATATAATGGTTGTCATTGCCTTGTAAGGATGAGCAAGTGGTAGAAAATATTCGATCTCTTATAATGTGTACATGAAAGTATTGATCCTTTATATTAAAAATACTAACAAGATTTGTATAAATGATTTTATCTCATTGGGTCGATAAGTATATCTGCTCAACACCTTGCATAGATTACGAATTTCCGAAAAGATGGCTAGTATCCGCCCTAAATAATCCAGGCACATCATTTTGACCGTAGATTACGGGCATAGGGGTAAAGTTTTTACCGCCTTCTGTAAAATTGAGAAAAGATTAGCTTCTACAACTATATTTTAAGATTATATAGAAATCCCTGAAACCAAACTGAAGAATTAACTCTACTGAGCCATATGCTGACGAGATTTTATAATTTCGTCCCGAGGGTTTTATTAATTTTGTCGAATAAAAGCGCTTTATTTTTCTTATTTTTTTCTAACACAGGAAAAACATAAACAAATTTTTTAAGATCATCTATAAATTTTATAGTCTTTGATTTTAAATGTCATTGTCAACGTCATTTATCATTTATTTGTCAATTTTGTTTGGTATTAAAAGTTGAAATTAATAAATTGTACTTTTCCACAGGGCTTATATTCAGAATCTATTTGCTTTTTAAAGATTTTCAAGGCAAAATTCTTGCAGGCTTATTTTGATATAAGTTCCTAGAAAAGTAACCTTTAAATAATGGCGGATCGTCTCACACAATTACAAGATACTATAAATCAGGTAACTGACTTAAAACAAGTGATCTAAATATAAAAATATGATTGCTAAACAATTTAAATTTGCAGCAAGCAGAACATTTCTGCAACAGTATTGGTATACTGCAGCAGTTTTCAACACCTAGCAAATTCCCTGGTTTCGATCGCAGTGGCTCGCAAACGCCACAACAACAGCAGAATCAAGAAGACTATGCTATGCTCTTTGCCACGTTAATTTCACGATGTGCTAAGGACATTGACACACTTATAGAGTCTCTGCCCAGCGAAGAAAGCTCCACGGAGCTTCAAGTGCAAAGCCTGAGGAGATTAGAAGCTGAAAATAAGGAAGCCGCGGAACAATTAGAAGAGGTTAGCAATCTAAATGTTATTAGACCATATAGATTTTTCATCTGATAAATTGGTTAAGAATTTTTGGCCAATTAACCTATTTTGACCTCTAGAAGCTTATGTTGTTTACATTTTTAGTAGTTAAAAATATTTTTTAAAAAATGTCTATACAACTATGTTTGACTATTTTAAAAAAACAATATCAAGACTTTTAAGACAAATGTTTACTGCTGTGAAAAATATAGCTACCTTATCTTATAAAAAAATAATTTTATGACAATTTCAACAATGCATTTTTAATCATTTTCTTGTAATTTTTCAGGTTGTACGTCAAGGAGAGATATTACTGGAAAAGATTCAAGGAGCTCTCAGTGATATTGCACAGTGTCAGCTGGATATGCAGAACCCAGCATTAATCCTCAATAAAGATGTGAAACCACAGTTATAGGGTTTATGGAAATACGGTGGAAACCGTAGATGATAAAAAGACTGTTTTAGACATACTCAAAGAATAAAACTTTAGTGTATAGTGCTGTTAAATCTCTGACCAAGTTCAAATAAAAGTATAAATCTTGTCTATGAGTGTGCATTAACTTTTTTTTAATTACTGCTTAAATGTATTTGTCTATGCACATGTAACAGCCAATTATAGTGCTATAAACTTATTTGGCTTTGTGGGCAGTGAAACTTTAATAATCATCTGGTCTGTAAAGTTTCTGACAGAAATAAGCACGATACTTCTCCCACAAGACCACAAGTTTGTGGAACTATGGTATTCTAAACTTTCTTGAAGTATTTCATTCTAGTACTTGATGTAAAAAAAAATATATATACAGACAAATTTGTCTGTACTCAATTGAGTACTTCCTTCTTTTGGGAAGTCGGTCAACTACTTTATATTGTCTTGTGTTAAGTTCTTGTAATAGTTGGTAAAGTATTCAAAAGTTATAAGATATTACATGTTAATTTTATGTATTGAATTAAAGATTTAAGGAACCTTTTTTGCCTTTTCATTGACTAGATCTGCTCATTGTGTAACTTTATAATTCCTCATTTTATTTAAGAGTCCCAAAACTACTCGTTTTAGGCGAAATTATAATGTTTTAACTTATAACTATAGGGCGTCAAAGATTTTTTTTCATTGGTTTTAAATATCTTAGCACTGCAGGGCCGGCACGCTCGGTGTAATACCACGATCACGCAGAACACAGGCGTGAAATAAAAGCATTTCCGTGTTTCGTCTCATGACTATGGTGCCGGAGGCCTAATTTAAGTCCCTTTCTCTTTACCACCCTATTCTTATAAGGAGAGGATGGGAACGGGAAGTGGATTTGACGGAGGAGGAGATGCATAGGAAGGGGAAATGTCCCCTTTTTGTGCGTCTTCTCCGTCGGATAAGGCGGATGTCTATGGGCAGCGGTCGCTTCGCCATTTTGGCGGATTCAGGTGGCCGGTAGCTCGTTTGCCTCCTAATGTTATAATTTTTTTTAAAGTCTTTTTTAAGTTAATTGCTTTCCTTTCAAAATAAAATTATCTAACTACTTTTGGTTACACTACATTCATACAAACGGTTAATAAGGGAGTGCTTATTTCCGATTTATTATGTGAATCTACATTAAGGACAGCTTAAGTAGTCGTCTAGTGGTGCGGCATTTATTTTTTATTTAAGCGAGATTATGGGTAACTAAGGCGGTAAAGTAGAGCGACATGTGACAAATGTCTGTCTACTGGGGAACGTGTTGATATACATCAAACACACCTGAGACCAGTATCCGAGTCAGTCCGGGTCACTACTTACTATCGACACTACTCTGCTAGACTATAAAGGCGTGTACACATAATACGGTTTCAAAATAACCGTAGTAAGACATGCTATGAAATGTAAACGCACTTCATATTTTTGGATAGTTCAACATTTTATCTTAATACACAACCAATTAAAGTTAATTAAATGCTTAATAAAAATTCGTGTCAATCTGTTCATTTGCATAGCAGCCCACGTTACTTGTTATAAATGTATTTTTACAATTGTAATTAACGTACGTTCAAGATTTCAATTAGTAATTAGTAAAAGATGTACGTTTAAGTTGGCCATGTGTACACGCACGGCCCCAAACCAAAGACAAAATAGAGGCAAGCGCTAGCTTAACAAACGTAAAAAAAAACAGCCTCTCGCTCAGTCTCAGTTCGCGCGCATTTACCTGTCGCTTCGCACCTGCAGTTGATAACCGACCGCATCGCGATGAGTACGTTCGGAAACGAACGCATCAGTTTTTGAACGAACTTACGAAAGATAGTTTCTGAACGCTCGTGTTTGTTAAAGTTATAATTTTTTTATGTTATTATTATTGTAATGACTGAATAATTGTGTTGTGTTTGTGACGTTGGAAACGATTTATTTAATTGTGGAATTTTCATTTATATTAGAGTGGGAGTGGATGTGAAAACTGGAGAAGACCCGCAGGAACGGGTCGACTCTCCCTTTGCGCTACAGCGAAAGGTAAGACAAATTAAAATGCGTTACATTATTTATTAAAATTAGAAAATTAAGGCACTCTTTATTTAAAAATCAAGAATTATGATGTTTTATTTCTGCTACGTGAAAAGGTTTCCTAAAGATGTAAATAAATACTGTAATTTGTGGGTACAGTGACAAAAATTATTAATTTTTTTCCGTACATTTCAATAAATATTGTAACAACAAAATTAATAATTAAAACCAATAGTATTGTGTATCTTGTATCAGAGATAGACAGTTGAAGAAATTAAACAAAACATATCAAAATATTAGGCGTATGCCTAAAATGTTTAGTTCTTTAGTCTGTTGATTTAAAAATCACGTTGTTTCTGGAAAACCAGTTAAAAAAGAATAGCTGAAAAAAACGTTATAGCTATGCGGATTCCAAATTTGAAATTTAATATAAATTGACGTTTGCATGTCGTATTTAAATAGAAAACGTGTTTGTTTAAACTCGTTAATGAAGGAATTATACAAAAATGGTTAGAAAATGAATCGGATCTAAAACGTGTTTAGCTTTCATGTTATTTTAATTACAAATTAATAAATGCATTATGACATTGAAAGTTAATTATTTTTTTATGTCAAAAATGAAGTTGTGACTGCCAGTATTTTTCTAGAAAATTGTTTAAGTAATAATTGAATATGGTAATTATTTTATCAATAATTGCTGTTTCTTGTCTTGATAAAATCGAATGAGTAATAAATAATTTTTTTCACTGTAATCAAAAAAAATACGATACTAACTGTACATACTATTATTAATTACTAGAAAATAATTGCTACTTAATTAATAGTACAGAAATCTGCTACTGCGAGTATTGGTAAAGGTTCATTATTCTGTTCGTAGAAAAATTGCTGCAATAATTTGTGGTCGTTGTTAATTACCATCAGCTTAAATAGGTTTGTATAATTAATTTAGTTTACATAATGCCTGGTTCACACTTGGCCAGCACAACAGTAGCTCATACCAGGCATGGATTGTATGGAGTAACTAGCGCCAGTTAGTGTTAACTTCGCGTCATTTGAATGCCAGCCAAGTGTGAACCAGGCATGATTAAGATTATTGAGATTGTGTTTTTTTAAACTGTCGTAACAACCGGTAAACCGGCCAGTACTTTTTATCAAATCTGGCCACATGTGAAACTTATTACGTCTATGGTAAACTGGCAGACGATAAAAAAAACTCGTCTCGATGGTTTCGTGAAAGTGTTGACCTCAGCGAACCGGCTTGGAGTTAGACGTCAGTCTTCCTACCGGCGCGGGCGCCGGCGTCGGTGACAGGTTCTTTACCGGCGTATTAGAATCATGACAGGTTGCAAATATACTTCTACCATTTGGCCCGATAAGTGCCATAACGCCAGAAGTCATGGAATTATTTAGGGATAGAAAATGACACATGATGAGCTACGGCACGATAGTAAACTAATGGGACTTTACTAAGGGATCGCTAATGAGTTATTAAATTTAATTTAATGTCAATTGGGGGAGAATAAATTGTTCATCTTTATGAATACTACAGAATGATAGGCGTTTATTTTAGGCATATTTTAAACTAAACAAATTATATTACATTAACATATGGTAATACAGTACGAATCTTAAATAAAATTTACATAATTAACAAAAGGAAGCCTTTTGTTATATCTCAGTTTATTTTGGAGACGACGTCAGAATAAACCGAATCGCATATAAAGTGGAAAATCGAGGTTTTTTTGGTTTGTTTGTTGTTATGATTATCATATAGTGGAGGTCGCGGTCAATAGTTAGCCCACGAGCATGTTATTGAGATGTCATTGTTGAAATACAATAAAACAGAATAAAGACGCACATCTTTAGATTCTTCTAATTAATCGACTCATGCGAGGAAATTAGTTACATATCGTAAAATAATTATCTTTAACAATTTAAGATGTTACTTTTCGTCGCATAGACCATGAGTTTTTTTTAATCTGTGTAAGGTAATAAAAGAGAAAAATATTATCAATTTCTAGTCAAAAGTATTATAATAACGTCTTTTTAAAATACATTTATGCAGGAAAACGATATATTTAGTAACAATATACATAGATGTATTGTAGGCGTTTGTTTTATATTCTTGTTTTAACGACTTACGTCAAACGCAGCCAATAAGGCTGTTCGTACACAAGGCAACCAATCTCGGGAATTCATATTTGCGTCGTGAGGACACAAAACATTAAATCGACGTGAGTTATCTATTTAATCAGTACAGGCTCACAATGATCTTGAGTTTGCTTAAGACTGGCTTTGGCGATGGATACGTGTGTATACGACCCTCTATAATATTGTAGACTATGCAGGTTTTAAAATTAATCGCTTTGTGTACTATTGACCTAAGTTAGGAACCCCTTATCGCTCTCATATCGGTGTTTTGATGAATTTTCACGCCGTAAAACTTTCACTGTTTCATAACCTTCAGTTTATTATGGTTCTATGGTCATAACACACGCTTACTGAGCTATATAGCCTTGGCCTTATGCTTATGTGTATCCTCGAACAATCTTCTTACTAAATGCGAAATATAATATAAATGCGAAAGTTTAGATGAATGGATAGATGGATGGATGGATGTTTGTTAGAGTTTGTAGCCTAAACGGCTGAACGGATCTCGATGAAATTTGGTACAAATGTAGAGGATAGTCTGGAAGAACACATAGGCTACTCACTTTTGTTTTTTTTAATTCCCTGCAGACGAAGTCGCGGGCGAAAGCTAGTAATATTATAAATGCGAAAATTTAAATGGATGTATGGATGTTTGTTAGAGTTTGTAGCCTAAACCGCTGAACGGATTTCGATGAAATTTGGTATAGATGTAGGGGATAGTCTGGAAGAACACATAGGCTACACACTTTTGCATTTTTTAATTCCACGCAAACGGAGTCGCGGGCGAAAGCTAGTAGTTTAATAACATTCTGCAGGTAGGTATCAGGTGAGCCTAGTGCGTGGAGAAAAAAATGCGCAGTGTGCCTTATTATCCCTTGACATACTACGAGATACCTAAAACTTGATTCTTATTAAAATTCTGGAGTTACGGGACTTTGAATAATATGTAAAGATGACAATATTGTCTATGAAAATACAGAGATAAGTGTGGAGCCCTCCTATTTTCTATTCTCTGCTCCACCCTATATTTCTTTAAAGACACAATTAAATTATATTTCTCTTGCATATTGTCTGTGTTTCTTCAGTAATGGATCTCAAGCTGATGTATCGATAATATAATCGATTGTAATAACGATAAATAAAATCAATGATGAGAACCTCTGTCTAGCATTTCAATTTGCAAGCAGCCATTTTGTTTTTATAGCGCTATTTCGTGTTCACCTTGACATTTGTAAATGTCCGAGTAGGGTGTGAATCTTCGGTTAATAAGATGGCTTTGACAATAAAATGATGTTAATATTTCACTTTAAGGTTATAACGAGCGAATGCCAACGATTTTGGAGGTATTATCATTAATAAATGGTTGGTATTACAAAGCAATTCTATGCTTAATACAACGACATTTAAGAAATATATAGAACTAGCTTTGGCCTGCGACTCCGTCCGCGTGGATTTTTTTTTTAAAAAAAGTAGCTTATATGTTCTCCTAGACTATTCTCTATGCCAAATTTCATCGAGATCCGTTCAACCGTGTAGGCTACAAATTCTAACAATCATCCATCCATCCATCTAAACTTTCGCATTTATAATATTAGTAAGATTAGTAAGAAGTAAGATAGACATAGCTAACATTTTTTTTTTGAAAGGTACTATGTCAGTTGTCAAATTTAATACGCCACATGATGTCCGTGTATTGACGTATTATAAAACATTTTACAAAATTATAATAGACTAGCTGTTGCTCGCGACTTCGTACACGTGCCATTAAAAAGCTATAAAAAACATACAGACGAATTGAGTACCTCCTTCTTTTGGGAAGTCGGTCAAAAAATATAGCCTATGTTACTCACTGATTACATAGCTCTTTAATGGTGCAATTTTTAAAATCGCTCCAGTAGTTTTTGAGTTATTTCAATACAAACAAAAATACAAATCTTTCCTCTTTATAACATTAGTATAGATAGCGTTTGTGAGAATAATATGACAAAAAGTGTCAAGTAAAGTGACGACTATGCTTCCACTATATGTTTTTTTTCGATCATTTGGCTTAATATAACGATTTTACACGTCTTTCGTAATCAGCTTACTTTTTCGCGCAACACATATGATACTGTGATATCCAAATCATAATAAACATTAGTAAAAATGTATTTTTAATGACTCAATGCCATAAAAACAGTTCAATTATTTCATATTTTATGAGAAATAGTTTCAATAAAATGCAATGAGATATTTAGTATTGCTATTTGTTAGATAAATTCTGTTTTTATTTCATACTTCATGTTAAGTTGAATTCAATAGAAATTCCACTGGAATATTTGTACTTGAAGTGACATAAACTTAGCATTATTGCTGCGGATTTAATAACGCTATAAAAATAATGGCCAAAGTTATTTTACGCCACACTTTTCAATATAAACTGATGGTCTCGCATCGCGTGGTCTCCGGAGACTATTTTGGAATCATTCGATAAACATCGATTGCGATAATTCCTTTAAAAATTACATAAATATTTACTAAAACGTTATAGTAACATCCGAATAAGTATTGAAGATAATAATCCATCCTGCCGTTCGACATTTGTACTCATATTATTAAGATGAAATACTTGTATTTATTGCATGTATTGTAAAGTCTAAAACTACATTAAATCTTCTGTTAGATATTTACTACTAGATTTTAATTCTATAAATTACTTGCTGTTCCCATGCGGCTTCATCCGCATGAAATTGTGAACATTTTATTTTATTGTTTACATTCGTCAAATTATCAATAGCAAATATCAAAATGACATGACATGACAAACCATGGCAATCTTACTTCCTCGATGTTGGCAGCAACTTATGGTCTCTTTCTCA